TATATATTTATATGTTGTCCATTGGGTCTCTTTTTGGTTTGAAGACTTATTTACATCTAATGACTTTTACACCATGAGATAACGGTACAAGATTCCAAATATCGTTGGTTATCATGGAATTCATCTCATCTTTCATAGCATAATATCATAATTTTGGTTCATTGCAACTCATGAGTTGTGAAAATGACTAGAGATCATTTTTAGCTCTAACATTATACTCAGACTCTTGTAAGTACACAATGTAGGTACTAGAAATTGTTAATTTTTTTTTCTTTAGTAGATCTCCTTAATGTTGAACCAACATTTTCTTCTAGATCATGTTATTCAACTTCTTGTTCAATCATGTCTAAAGTTCTGGAACAAGACGATCTACTAGAATATTTTCAACAACTTGTGAATTTATATTGATTGGTTGTTTAACACTCTATCGTTCTTAAGGGGTATTTCGTATGATAACCAATCTCTAACTTGAAGTGAGAGGTTGATCTACATGAATTAAGTCCCAAGACAGATCTTTCCCAATGATTGTGTCATACTTAAGAAACTTTTTATTTCTTAATTTCACAATTCTAATGTTATGAGTTGGACAATGGAATATATATATTGGGCCTTTCGAAATATACAATGAAATATTCATTGATGGTTATCGTATCTAATTTCTTTTCTTGTGGTTTATAAATTCTCACTTCATATGGGCACCCTCGTATGTGTGTATATTATAAACTTGATTTTAAACCTTTAAACAACTCAAAAGGTATTTTCGGGACAACCTTCCGATATAATATACATAGTCCTTTTGAGAGCTTTAATCTTTAAAAATTAGTTAGATTAGAGTTGCTAAGCACACTTCATACCATATCCACTAAAGTTCGATTTCTTCTTTGTGCAACACCATTTCGATCAAGTGATCTTGACATGGTGTATTATCTATCTTTAATATATCTACCAGAATACTCATCACTTCTATTAGTTCTCACAATCTTGATTTGCTTACTACATTTTTCCTCTATTTCAGCCTTGAAAACCTTATAGGCTTTTAATTATTTGCTTTTGTGATGAAACTTGTAGAGATACATGCATCGTGAGTAATTGTCTATAAAAAGTGATGAGATATTTCTAACCTTGTACATACATATATGGGAAACATATATTAGAATCGATGATTTTCAATATGGTCGAATTCCTCTTGACATCTTTATTTGACTTGTTAGTATGCTTACCTTTAGTAATTAACATCCAGCTCAAATGGTCTTCAATTTTTAACGGAAAAGAACGAGTTTGGAATATATGAATAGTCTTGTGGCCATTTTGTAACTTTTAATAGTTAGGGGACTCAACAAAACAACGCTCTATAGTTGAGGAACCCTTTTGTAACTTTTAATAATTGGGAGACTTAATAAAGCAGCGCTCTATAGTTGGTGGATCATTTGTGTACTTTACCCTATTATTAAATTTAAGTTGTTACTAATTCTTTAATTAAATAAAATTATTTAATTTCCTAGACATATATCTTAAAATTTTAATGAAAAATAATTTATGCAATAAGTCTTAGATTTTGCATGCACCTACCTAAAATGCATGTAACTAATAACCATATAATTCACATACAATCAAAAAAATTTAGACACAAAAAAAGTTCATACAAATATTTTTAAAATGTTCCCAAAATTATTTTAAACATAATTAATTTTAGAAAATTTTTAATAAAATATAACAACTTCAAAAAATAAAGCTTCCAACGAAAAATTCTCAAAGTTTAAAAAAAGAAACATGTGAACATAATTTTGACAAACATACAAATTTTTAAAAACAAATAAGGCTGGGACTAAAACATGTTTTGATACTAAATGCAAGCACAAAATGAGCATAAACACAAAAGAAAGATCGAAATTATTTATACCTCCGACCATTGCTTAATTGATGCAAAAATAGGATGTGACTGAATATGGTAGCACCACCGTTAAATACTTCAAATCTTCGTGAATTATTATTGAACACTTCAAATTCGATTGCACCAAAGATTAAAACTACCAAGAATCTTTTAAGCGCTTAAAACCTTACTATATAGAATAAAATCCCAAACTTTAAATATTAAATTGTTTTCAAATTGTTTTGAGTTCTTATGAACCTTGTGCTAAGATATAAAATTGTTTTTAAATTGTTTTGAGTTCTTATGAACGTTGTGCTAAATGGGTATTTAGAAGGATGATTCCCCATCAAAAACCACCACCTTAGTGACATAACTTAAATCATGGGATAACCACTATACCACTAACCAAACATGAATTAAATATGGAACATCCATTATACCACTAACCAAATGTGGTTTTCTAACGTGCATGTGCACGTAATTGAACCATTCCAGTAACGCTTTTATTGCAATAAATACATTTTTAGAATAGTACATATTTTTTTAAATAGTCCGACGTGATTAGAATATGATATTTGTTTAAAATTTTCTTAGTTAGTGACAATGCACAATATCATGTAGACGCAGTCACTCGAATTTATCCTCTGAGAAGAATAATATTCATTTTAATTCAGAAATTTATAATAAGATTTAATTTTGTCTTTACAATATATTATGTGTGCGATTAGGGTCTGATATGATGTCTATTGGAGTATAGATTTTGCATGTTTCATGCAAGTATATTGAACTGAAGTATAACCAGATTATTTGAGTTTTAATTTTCGTTATATTTTTGTATGACGAATGTGAAAAGACAAAAATACTATTATCCGAATTAGAAATACTCTCGTATGATCTATGTTTGCGCTCGGTTAAATATTGTGTGTGTGAACTTATGTTGTATGTTTCTATGAAAATTTAATTTGCATATGATTAACAATAGTCGTAATATGTAAATCGGGTCACTTTAGTAGCTAATGTAGCGTTCAACATCTGGATCAGATTATCCTATGTACATCTCGAGTGTTTGAAATATATTTTAACTCAAATATCATTGATAATATTATCAAACATGTCATATATACATACATAATATACGTACAACATATAAGCATAAAGAAAATTAAGCATATTCACATAGTTAAATTAAAAAACGCCTAACATACTTTTAATTTCATACGCATTTCAATCATCAATACACACATCGTACACTTTTTATCTCATGCTTTTATTATCATACATTTATTTCATCAACACTTATACGATATATTTTTACTAAATTAGTCGAGACTTAATTTAAACATAGTCAGAAAATATCTTAAGTCATTCGAATCAATCATATACACATTTAATCATATTTCAAATGATTTGAAGGGCTCTTCGCAAGTCCTGGTACATCGTGTATTGAGCTAACTTATAAAAAACACTTATCTTACTTATGAGTTTATGGATTCGTATTTTTATGATCTCCTGTTTAAGGAATATTAAAAAAAAATTAAAAATATAAAAAGTACTATTATATATATTTCAAATGTTAATATGATCAACAAAAATTGTATATTCAGACTAACGTGAGATGGTCAAAATACTTTTTCAGTGAAAGTGTTTAAAGATTTTATTTTTTTCAATTTTTTTTTTAAATTTTTATTGGTTTTATTAGTCTTTTTCATAATTAATTAAACTATCAATTTTTTTAAAAAATAATTAAACTTGTATGTCACATTATCATTAATAGTTGATTATCACGTTAATATTTTGAATTATTATATCAACATTATGTATCATCGTATTAATATTATAACGATCAATAATACTTTTCATCAATTAAATAATCAAATTGTTTTTATCTCAATTTAAAAACCATATTAAACATAATATAAGTTCAAGAATTACACTAATTATTTTGAAAATTATAAAACCTAAAAACCATTAAATTAAATATAATTTATTTAGGAAGCACATAATTGAGAAACAAAAATCAGTGCATGATCCATGGAAGAAACAAACAAGGGAAATCTTTACCATGTTTTGTGAAAGTGAAAAACCAGAATGTAAAAAGGTTGAAAAAGTTAATGCGGTTATCATTACAAGAAACGAGAGCAGGGACAAAATCGTCAATAGGTATTCAAGATTGGTGGGTACTATTTCTGCAGCCGCGCTCACTCTGCCCCACACAATCACATGACTCTTATCATTGTTTAACTATTATGGTATACTATAACTTGAATTTAAAAACTTCTTCTTATATTTAATCAATCTATTCTTATTTTACTTTTTTTCTTAATTTCAATAATACTAATGTTATTTTCTTAATAGTGTAGAACGGTTAAAATATATATATATTATATATTTTTTAAATTATAATACATATTCATCATATAATATCATTATCAACAAAATTAATTTAAATAATAAGTAATTTGATATCGTTTAAATAAGTCTCGAGTTTAATAATCTCGAGTTTAACAATCTCGGGTTTAACAAATCTCGAGTTTAAAACTTTGTTATACAAAAAAAAATTATTAGAAGACTCACCCACAAATAATAAATGTGGCATGGATAGATCGACATTTCTTTTACAAATGCCTAAAGAACTGAGAAAACAAACAAAAAATGTTATGTAATATTTGAACATAGATCCTCTTAAAATAGAGAAATATAATATATGATTACAATTTTATTTAACCTACTAACAATATATACATCCTACAAATAATTACATTTATTTTTATCATTAAAATCATTTAATATATCTTATTTATTTTATATCAAAACGAGACAATTGAGAGACAAATAGGCAGAAAGGGGCATTTTTGGTTGAACATGGAACATGGAACATGGAACATGGAACATGAAAAGAAAAAGAGTTAATTAAAACAACTAAAATAAAACAGTTACTTATTCAATAAAACAAGCTTATAATACATAAATAAAATAAACAAACAAAATTTGTGAGGCGTAATCTTTATTTAAGCCCTAATTTACCACTAATCATAATTTAAGCCCTAATTCAACTTATAAGTAAAAAAAAAAGATGGGGAGATTAAACTAAAATAAAAGTTAAAAATACCATTTTTTTATGTATATTATGGCATCATCAAACTTGGAACTTCCTTTTTTTCAACTTAAATCCAAATATTTCTCTTTTTTTTTAAAGGTAAATTAAATTCCAAATATCTTCTTCACATAACATTGCAGCTTGAGGTATTCTCATCACTAAAGAAGTGGGTATACGGGTCGGGTTGAGGGTGTGGGTATGGATGCGGGTATGGATATTGATATGGGTATGGGTATGGTGGTGGCATGTAATTGACAGCTGGTGGTGGCCTAGCGTGCATCATTGGCTGAAACCTCTCACTTGCTCCTCCCACTGCACGTTGCTGGTTCATCATTGCTGCCATGATCTGTTGTTGATGGTATGGATTACCCGGCATAACATCTGGACCCGCCCCTTGGAAGTATCCACCGTTGCCGCCTCCGCCATTGCCGTTCATAGCCGCGGTTGCTGGTAAGCCTTGAACCGCTGGGATGTTACCCATTTGGCCCATTGGTAAGCTACCCATTTGGCCCATTGCCATGTTCATGGCAGCCGCCCTCTGAGGACCACCCATGTTTCCACCATTTGGGCCGCCACCCATGGTTGGGAACCCATCGGAAACACCATTATTTCCCTTCTTGCCACCGTTTGGACCACCGTTGTTTACACCACCACCAACGTTCTTGTTTGCCTCCTGAGGTCCATTTTTACCTCCGTTTCTACCACCGCCACCACCTTGATTTGGGTTTCCCCCATTATTATATCCTCCAACAGGACCACCTTTTTTACCTCCGTTTCCATTGTTACCACCACCAGCAGGCACACCATTGCCACCGGCACCACCCTTTTTACCGTTAGGTCCGGCGTTTTGGGCTGGCTTTTGGGCATTCATAAGCTGAGGATGATTAACATTCATCATCCCCTTCAACATCATCATATTGTTGGGTAATCCCTTTGGAGCATTTCCCATCACGGGCTTCATCTTGTTAAGCGGATGACGAGGATCATCCAACTCGTCTCTTCGTCGTCATAATCATCGTCATCGAGATCACAATCATCATCCAAATCGTCATCATCATAATCATCATCATCACTCAAAGCATCCTCTTCAGCAAACTTCAAACCCTTCTGATTGTTGTTGGGAATAGGACTATTCTTCATGTCTTTCAACTGAGGAAGCTTCAGATCTTGAAACCCTTTCATTTGCTGAAGCTGTTGAAGATGCTGCTGCAATTGTTGAGGCGTTGGCTGGCCTACTTTGGGTGGTTGGTTATTGTTGCCCCCTTTCGGCGCTTCCTTCTTGTTATTGTTGCCGACATTGTTGTTCTTGTTGTTGTTGTTTCCACCTTTTCCGCCATTATCAGCATCTGCATGTTCTTGAACTGGTTAGCAAGGTGACCCTGATTATTGTTGTTGTTGTTGGTTGCTTTTGAAGAACCCCAAAGCTCTGCATGTTTCCCAGATTTTGCAAGCTTCTTGATGAGAACATCTGGGTTTACATTTCCCAGTACTGTTACCTTACCTTGCTCAGAATCAACGGTGGTTTTAAAAACCCCTGAGAAAATAAAGGAAAAAAACCCAAAGAGCTCAAAATTAGAGAAACACGTCACAATCAGTTTTTTTTCTGCAAAAAGAAGTATTAGAGAAGAAATACCTTCAATCTTTTGTAAAATTTTCTTCACTTTGTTCTTGCACCCATCACAGTGTATGTTAACTTTGAGAACACAAGTCTGCAAAAAAAAAGATTTTTAGAGTGAGAATGAGGTAAAGGTGCAACCTTTGAAAAAGAAAGAAAGAGAGTAAACATACTTGGATCTTCATAAGCTCTTCTTTACTCATTGTTTATCTATCTTAACACTTGAAAAATCAACAAGCACGAAAAACAGGGAGAAGGAAACAGATCTGAAGAAGGTAAAAAAAACAGAGGATGAAATTTACAACAAATCCCAACAGAGAAAAAGGCTTTGTTTTGTAACAGAAGAAGAAGGAATTAGAGAGCAACAACAAATGTGAACAAAAGAAAGAAGAAGAAGGCTTCGTCTTGACCAAAGAAAGAGGGGATTGTGTAATAAGCAGAAGCAAAAAAAGAGAGTGCCGGCAATGGCAACATTAGCAACGGCAAAGCAATGCATCAATCTTTATCCTTTGGATCTTTATTTATTCGTACATAAAAATAAGGGTAAACTACAACTTTCGTACCCATCTATCATTTTTCTTTCGTTTTGGTCATTACATTATTTTTTATGTTAAAACCATATCTTATATATATTTTAATTTTATTTTGATCATTTATCATTTAAAAATAAGAGTCTTTTTTAACCTAATATGAAACATTAAGGACTAAAATATCTCAAAAATAATAATAAGGGATAAAGTGATTATTATGTCAAATATTATGAGTCTTTTTATCCTAAAATAAAATATTAAGGCCAAGATGCTTCAAAAATAGAATAAGGGTAAAATAATAATTTTTGTAAACGTTGGGGGCAAATTTTGATATTATATCTTAAAAAGTAGTTAGATGAATAGAAGTGATAGTTGGATAGTAAACATATAGTTTACCCTAAAAGTAATTATATATTGAATTGAGTGTAATTATGCTAAAATGTGTGGCTTGGCTCAGGCTTAATTGGCTTGTATCAGAATAATTTTGACCATTTTGGTGTTTTCACTTTTCACCGTGGGGTTTGGGTGGGTCCATAATAAGTGGAGTGTACAAATATCACATATGTGAATGAACTCTTTGTCAGATTTTTCTTTTATTTTTAATTTTGGATCAAAATTCTTTGTCAGATTTACTCTCCTATCCTATAATACAATACAATCAATAATGACAGTAGATGGGATTGCTATTCACTTGTCTATTGTCGGTTCCATTCCATAGATTCGATTTCGTTTACCTAAAATTTAATTCTAATTTATATGGTTTGTTTTAATTTAATGATAAATTTATGTCAGTCAGTATTATTAAAGTGTTATCTGTATATTATAATATTTTATTATTTTTATTGATGACAACAAATTAATTTGGTGATAATCGGTGACTTTTTTTTTAATTTAAAAAGAGAGTTGTAGTTGATAAAAAAAGATTATTGACTCACATATGAAAGAGGAGAAGAGTTTATTAGGGAGGAATAAGAAAACGATATAAGAATCGTGACGGTTTTATCTTTCTTTGGATTTGATTGGGGATATTATATGATCTTTTTTATCGTATGATAATATTGATTATTCGTAAATCGGTAAATTAGATGGATCTAATAATTATAATTAAAATTTTATTTTGACATATCGTGTGAGTCTATTAGAAGTAGTATCTAACATTATGTCCGACTAAAGCCTATATTATGGGTGATGTATAAGAGACTTTAATAGATAGAGAGGAATGTATAAAACTTTGATCAGCCAAAATCTAACGATTTAATCCAAAAAGAACTTCAAAATTTTTAAAAATTATTTCTCTAAAGTATAAAAAATTTTAATAACAAAATAAATTATTCAAATTTATCTGAATCGTGACTCATGATCAGGCTTATGTAACCTGTTGTTTTATGTGTGGGAATAAATCAAGTAATATATAAGAAAATATATTGCGAGTTTAACTTATATTTGAATGTTTTCTCTAACTCTTTGGACCACCGTTCTGATTAATTGAGTTTGGCATTTTTGTCCCTTTTGGCTTTGTATACAGTTCCTAATTTATGGGTTAAGGCTTCTTCATCGAACTAGTATTTAATTTAACGCTACCATCATAATTATAAAGCCACTGTTTTCATATACATATGTTGAAATTTATATTAAAAGACGTAAGTGTAAGAAGTCATATTAAAAATTAGAAGATACTAAATTTATAAAATTTTAAAAAATATGAAATTAAAATATTAGTATAAAAATATAAATAAAATAATTAAACTATATGAAAATTAAAATTTTGGATGATATGACCGTACCAACTCCTCTTCGATTCATCCTATTGTTTCATATCGTTAGGCTTAATCTGTACTGGTCTCGGACTGCCTTTTACCTTTGGATTTCATTCTCCGAACAAAAAAAAAAAAGGTGACAGGTTCGTGTAGTAATGGTAACATAACTTTTTGACATAATGTAAAAATAAATAAAAAATTGTATACAGGAAATTTTTGTTAGACTATCCATCAAATCAGATATATATGCTACGGATCGATCTAATTAATCAAGACAAAGTTTTTGAAATCGGGAGGACACTAGAAAAAATATTTATATTTAATTAAAGCTATAATGTCAAAATTAATATCTAGCGTTTATTAAATTGTTATTTTAGTATTATATTTTTTTGAAGTATTTTGATTCAATGTTTTATCTTATGACAAAAATAGTTCTAATATTTTTATTTAAAATCATTTTGACCCTCAATGTTTTTGTTTTGGAGTAAAATACTCATATTTTGGAATGTAACCACTCGTTAATAATCTATCCATAAGCATTTTTGGTCCCAAAATGAAACGATAGGAGTAATGATGCACCAAAAGAAAAACATGGACTAAAATAACTATTTAGTCAAATGTTAGAGATATTTTTTGATTATGCATCAATTCAATGACCATTTTAGGTTTTTTTTAGTATTATGATCTGTAACGTTTTATTTTAGGGTAAAAAATCCTAACATTTGACAAATTAATCTTTTGGTCCATGTTCATTCTTTTTTAAGCATTTTGACATCATCGTTTTATTTTAGGGTAAAAAAGCTCTTATTTTATAGCATTAATTATTTGTTGACTAACGATTTCTATCTTCATAGGAATCTCATCTCAAAATAAAATAATAGAAGCCAATATCTCAAAAAAATAACATTTCATTTAATCACCGAGATCATTAAATAAATTCACGTTTTAAAATATACTAGAATGAGTAAGGAATTTATTTTGATTTGTTCCATTCAATCGATTAAATTATTTTTTTTATAAAATTGAAATTTAATTTTTCATTTTATTATAAATGAAAAAAGGGGTTACGACAAA